AAAAACTACGAAAAGATCATAAATGATTTATTCTAATCTTCATGATCAACGTTCATCATCTTTTGAAGTTTCTCTTGGCGATCTTTATTTGTACTTTTTGCTACTTTTTGATGATCGACTTTAGTCCGCTTCATGATTTTTCTGTGTATGATAAACGTTCATGATATTTTTGAGTTTTTTCTTAGTGATTAAATATTTTTTCTCATCAAAACATGAGAAGTATTTTGAAATAAAGATAATTTCTTTAACTTAAATTTCTGTATAATTATTCAAATCATTACGCATTTCTATTTATACCTGAACAATATTGCACGTCGTTCATATTTGATCTTGAGATATAGATAAAGACAAGATTTTAAAAAAAAGTGATAATATCAAGGAATAAAGAAATTACGATTAACTTTTTCGTATAAATACTACTGAAAAATAATTGGTTTTTTTTCTCGTATTTAATCTGTTGTATTGTTAAAAAGAGATTTCTAGAGTAGAAAAAGCTATTATGAGATGAAGAACCAATATTGAACATCAAACTAAACGACATTTCCATCTATTGTCACAATCACTAATAAGGCAAAACTAACAAGACTTAAGTATGAAATTACATCAATATCTAAACATATGCTTATTCTGCTCATAAATCAATAGATGTTAGTTCAATTTGTAAGCAGTTTCAAATAATTTCATATGTTTATCAATCAACTATTAACTTTCAACTATTTCATCGATAGCTCTAGTGCAAACTTCACACTGATGTGCATCTTTTCAACGACTGTTTCTATCTACTCGATGATCGTTTTATAATAAACTTCATATGATATATGTTATTTTTTGTTTTTTATTCTCTTGCGTACTGGACAATTAATAATAACATAAATTATTATTATTAATACTTAATTTATTGAGTAAATAATGAGAAAAAACATGTTCTATTGATATTCACCATACACCATTTTTGTTTTTCAAGAAAAAACTACATACAATGTGAGATGCTTTTCGTTGATAAGTAAATGTGAAATCTATTTTTATCATTGAAAGCAATGAAACATGTATGAATTCTAATGATTCAAAGTAAAGTAATATCAATAATATGCCAATTTGAAACACATTTATATTTATTAGTCATATAGTTATTTGTCTTTGAAATCAAATTCATACACTGTTAAATGAAGTATCCAGTGTAAATTCACAAGTAACATATTATTCGCTAAATAACTTATGGAATCAAGTAGAAAATGCTCAACATAATCCTCATGAATTCTATTAAGACACAAAACAATGAGATAGAAATAGTCGATGAATATAAAATTTCGATTATTATTCGTAAGTTTTTTGAATATTTCATACAATTTCGGATTAGTTGAAAATAATACTATAAACAATAGAAATAGCTGAGAAATTTTTACAAACAATTCAGGATCAAAAGTATATTCGTCAAATAGTAATATTTCTCTGATACTTTTGAATGAGGTTTACAGAAAATACTTGTTAATTATATTGATATGCTTTATGATGTATATATAGATTATTGTCTTGAAAATAGAGTAAGACTCATAGTTATAAGAGATGAAATATAGATTAATTACACCCATTAAAAGAACCATGCTTTTATACACAGTATAAAATTTGTAAATCTTTGACGGACTATTTTCCTCACATCGAAAAATCCAGTAGTTTTTATTTAATCATTGTTTAACTAAGATGAATAAAAAGAGATTGAAGAAAATAAGAGTTCGGTTACTGAATTGTTATGCATTTTGTTGAAAGGCACACAATGTATTCTTATACGATCCTCATTTCTAAAAGGTTTCATGTTTTCAGATGCAACATGTAGGAGTAAAACAAATTAATTTATCATATAAGAAAAAAAAAAGATTCAGATGGTAAACACCAACTTTTATGTATGTTCATAGGTAACCAGTAAAACAGAAATAATATTCATTTATGTTGAAAATATTGATATTTTTTTTTCTTTCTTATTAATTAATAAAATGAAGTTGGCGCAAGCACAATGATTATAATTTATGAAACTAGTAAATCATTAAACACGATTGAGTTTATCTCATTGATTGTGAACAATATAGTTGACGAAAATTTATTAGAGAAACAAATTGTTTGTTTCTCATCATTTGCTCTTATTGTGACATCAATATTAACTGCTATTCTTCTTTCTCTCTTCATTGGAAAACTTTATCGCCATAAATAAAAGACTTCTACTCGTAAAAGTAAAGACTTCATATTTGGGAATGTTAGATCAATAGAAAAAGTTAATAATAAAAGATAAATGATGAATAAAAATGATTTAAGTTTTATATTTATGTCATCGAGTATATCATCATTATTTGTTGATGTAAACTCAATGAATTTCATGTAATGATATTTTAAGAACTCTGCAATATGTAATAGATATCATTAACAATTCAAAAACGATTTTATTTTGACGTTGAATCATTCTCAGCAAAACTTGCTTTTTTTTGTTTATATTGTTGTATATTTTTGTTATTTATTGATTTTTTTTTCTTACTTAATCATTCTGTTAATCTTGTAAAACTTTTTTGGAAATTCAAGAAAAAGCTTCTCTACTATTCACCATTCAACAATGTATATCAATATATTGTTTATTTTTAAAATCTTAATTACCTTATAAAACATAGAGTATCTAGCAGATATACGAATATTGATTTGTGACTGTTTTTTCATAAATATATCCCTAGTCGAACATCTTGTAAGCAAGATCTTGGCCAAGATACTAGGTACAGATATTAAATATCTTAAATTTTAGATCTGGTCTTTTTTTGATAGTTTTTATTGATCTTTGTTCCTGGTAATTAGATCTTTCATACTAATAATCAGAATTTCCAATATTATCAGTCAAAATCCTACTGTTTTATTTACTTTCAATAATGGAAAATATTTATCTGAACATGTAATTCGAGCTGAATTTCTCTTTAAAAGTATTATAAAAACATGAACCATAAGAGTGTAACAATTTTTTCAGTTCATATATGCAATTTCAAGAGTTTAAAAATATGTTTATTTATGCAAATTCAAATGAAAAAGAATTGCAGTGTAGAAAAACTGATATCTTCTGTTTTTTTATGTATATAGGATTCTAATCTTTTTAGAAAGTTAATTTTTTGTTTTTAATGATGTTGAATCATCATTCACCTTGATTTTAATTTATAGTCATCAGATGATAATGATAACATCAAGTCGATGTTTATACATGTACGAAATCGTGATCCCGTAGTTTAAATTACAAAATAAAAAAAATCTAGACATAAAACAAACTTTATATTTTTTATTTCTACAATGTCTTAGAAAAGTTACTGTAGAAAGAAAGAAATTAGAGAACTTATCTAAATATAGTATTTGACTAAAATTTAAACGTCTGTTATTTTATCTTTTTTCAACAAAAATGTCTTAAAAAATTTTAGTTCTAAATCATTTTGTATCGTAACGAGACATCAACGATCTTCTTATAAAATACGAATATTTCTTGAATTCATACTAGATTAGTCTAAAAAACATTGTGACTACTTTATAAATTTTCTGTTGGATAAGCTTTTCTTCCGTCGTTGCTCTTCATAGCTTTTATTCTATTGGTTTTGCAAATGCCCCCGCAATTGTTCAATTTCTTAAACGTGAATGAGACTAACAAGTTTATATGATTGAGTTTTGCAGCATAGTTCCAAACAATCAAATAATTTTAAAATAAATTAATAAATTAATGGTGTTGCTTTTTTTTTTTAGTCAAGATCTTGGGAAAAGATAATAGAAAATAATATCTTTTCCAAAATCTTGACCTGTAAGAATCTTTATACAGATCTTGCCAAGATCTTGAATACAGATTTATTTGATACGGTCAAAATATATGCATGCCAAATATCTTTTTAAGATCTTGATAAGATCTTACTTAACAATCCCAAGATTTCAAGATCTTGCTTACAAGATGTTTGATTAGGGGTGACTGCTTTCTACTTGTTGTTGCTTATCATACAATGATAATAGTTTACTGAAAAGATAATTTTCTATAACAATTAGTTTTCTTTCAGCATTTGGTATTTATTCATTATTTACCTATTCGATCTCTCATAGAAAATTAGCTACACTCTGTATACAACTATCTGATACTGATCCATAGCCAATCTTGAATAATAAGTATATTACTGTATTATTAAATAGTACAAGTCCTAATAAAGTAACGAAATACATCTGACATCGAGACAGTGATCAAATTTCTAATTATCACTAATTGAACCTCATCGAAGGAGTATATCGCAATATTATGTATGGGTCACAAACTCAAATCTCGTGATATTGTGTTTTTGATAAAGTACTGCGAATGTTTTGGATCCGATTCATTTTTACCAATAATCTTAGATATGGTTTACTTGAATTATATCATTGTACGATGAAAATCAATCGTTACTGTTCCGAGCGATCGTTTTAACTTCCAAACATAATCGTTCTTTATAGAATTATGAGTTACTCAGTCATTTATGATAACATCTATTCGTTTTGCATCTTTTTAATTATTAGATTCATTTATGTTGATCTGTTAAGAAGCTAGAGACATCTATATATAATTATTAAAAGATAATCCTTACCTTTTGTGGTATTTCAATATCAAGTTAAAGAAAATGATATTTTTACTATTCATTATATGTAAATCTTCAATTCACTTTATTGGTGTCCTTGATATATAAGACAATGGCCACTCTTTTTTTCGTTGTTTGTTTCGCAAGGCGACAAGAATGAACGAAAGGAATATTAGTGGATAGTTGTGAGTCATCTCTTACTCGTTCTAACAATGTATTCCCATATCTCACTTTATATATTTTTTCTTTAGATATCATATTAGAGTGTTGTATTTACATTTGTCCCTTTATATGTATGTATAATTCATTAAATATCATTGTCTTGTTCATATTGCTATATTTGCATATATATTTTTTTTGGTTTTTACATGTTTTCAGTTTGCTTTAATTCATCTTTCAATAATGCCAACTTTTGCTAATCGTAATAATCATTCTGCGTCTGCTCCTATGTCAGAATCTGATAATGATGATGACAATGAACAGAATTCATCTTTTAATCAACATAATGAGGTTTGATATTAGAAAATAGATTCATTACAATTGTCTACTTTTTATTAACAGAGTATGATGCATAAAGTTAAAGATGTCGTTTCGAAACTTCTTCATCCTTCTTTCTTATTTTCGGTCAGTAGTGATACAAATCGTCCTGTAAGTGAAAATATAACGAAGAGATTTTTTTCTTTCTATTCTAATTTTTAGAAACGAAAACGAGAAACATCTTTTGAAGACAATGATGATGAGCAACAACCAGAAAGCACTACCACAACAACAAAAACAAATACTACTAATGGTCATTCGACGAGTTCTAAATCAAAATGTAAGATATTTACTTTTTTTAAATATCAGATGATGATATTCTTGTCAATAAGAAAGGCAAGCGTTGATTGTTTTCACACTTTTCAAATCAAAAATAAAAATTTCTTATTTAAAAGCAATTGATTTTTTATCATAATAGATCATCGTCAACCGATAACAAATGATGAACCACAACTAACTGATGATGAAGATAACACTAATCGAGATGTATCACCTACTGAACAAGATCTAATAGAAATCGAACAACAGAAGAAGCGACGTCGTACAGCTAATTATCAACATATTATTTCGACGACAACGACGAATGGTAATCATGAAGATGAAAAAACATCTTTACCATTATGTATGTCTAATCGTTTCTTTTGACATCAATTATTTATAATTATTTTTTATTTTAATTTTTTTTTCATAGCTTTGACGAACAGTGTTGAATCGTCATCCAATCGTCGAATAATAGATAATGGATTAAATACAGCTAATACGACACCTGTTCTTCTTCAAACTTCTATTGAACAAAAACGTAATGAAGGAATAAATCGATTCACATCAACTAAACAACGTTTTAATATTCCTTCAACTAATCGAGGATTAACATCAAATTATGATCCATCTCAATCACCTCTTTTTTCTGTTGGTATTCGAGTAAGATATTTTCACTGTCTAAAAAAAAAACAAGAATATATGATAATTTTGTATTAGAAAACAAATGACACAACCATGTCACCAAATCAAACAACAACAAATCTCAAGTCAAATGTTTGTAATCAGAAAAAAAAACATGAGGATAATTTTGTAACAAAAATTTTTTTTTTTTTCTTTTTTTCAGACAAATGAATTTTCCGCTAATTATTTATTAGCAACAGGTTTAGTTAATCGATCTCAACCAATAATACAAAATACTCAACAATCTTTATCTAACTCAACAAATCGATTAGTAAAATGCTAAAAAAAAAAATAAATAAAATAAACGACTAATTTTTTGTTTTGAAAAAAAAAAATTTATTTTTAGTTATCAAATGAACGACAAATGTTCGGTGTTAATTATGCATCAATTAATTCACGTCGTTTACCTTATATTGAAAGACTTCGACGGCGGACATTACAAGATTGTATACGTCTTAACCGAACACTTGATAATGAACCGTAATTATTCAAAAAATTTAATTACAAAATAAATAAATACTAATTTTTATTTTAGATTATCTATATCGACGATTGAAGAACATACATCAAGGACTACTTCACCAATACGAAAACCAACAAAAGCACCTGAAAAGGAATGCGGTATTCAATGTAATGTAAGTTTCGCATCATAAGAAAAATATTCTTGGTCAAAACTTAATAAAATACTTTTTGTTTGTATAGATTTCAACTACAAATGATTTAACAGAACCAAGTAAAAAAATTCAACGTACATTTCCACCACCAGATATTCGAAAGGAAGCATTATCAGTACCAACTATTGAAAAAGTACAATCAACATATCAAACAGATTCATCTATTCAAACAAATAGTTCAATTACTATTGAATCCATTCAACCAATCAATGATATTACAAAACCAAAAGTAAATAAAAAAAAAACAAAAAAAATTAGAATATTTTGATTGAATATGAATATTTGATATCTAGGTACTTGGTAATATAACACCATTTTCATGGCCGAAATTTGCTCGAGCACAAGAAGATTATGCCAAAAAATATCCTGAAAAATGTCATACTGATGCTAGTATGTATTTCTTCTTTTTTTCTTAAAACTTATCCATGTTAATATTTTTAGTACCTACTCAACCATCAAAATCAACGGTTTCTTCTGTTATTGAAAAATCAAATGTTAATACTACTATTCCTTCAATAGTTCCACAAACAACTGTTAGTAGTACAATTCCAAAAGTGCCGATATTTAGTATATCACCACCACGTCCAACTAAACCAGTTACTGGACCAGTATGGAAATGTCCTTCATGTACAATGGAACATCCAGCTCAAACAGCATCATGTTCACTTTGTCATAGAATTAATCCAAATTATAAACGATTAAGTGGTTAGTTTATTGATTAGATAGAAAAACAAAAGAAACAATCGCCTCTTTTTTTTGTCTTTTAGTTATTGAATCTACACCAACACCATCATCAAATAAATTACCTGAGATTATTATTGAAGAACCTACTGTGCCAAAACCAGTTAAACCTACTCAAACAGCTATTCAAGTCGAACCAATACCAATTGTAACACCATTATCATTACCAGCAACAACAACTAAAGAAAGTACACTTCTAATTCCACCAGTTGTAACAACAACTGCTCCATTTTCAACTGCCAGTACTTTTCCATTATTGGGTGCAACATCAACACCAACAGCAGCACCAGCTACTACTAAAGAAAATATTGTTACGAATCCACCTGCCACTACTAGTGCTCTATTATCTTCAACAACACCAACACCATCAACAACAACAACATCATTATTTGGTACAACAGCTGCACCATTATTTGGTACAACAGCTACTCCTTTATTTGGTACAACAACAGCTAGTTTAGATAAACCAGCAACAACTACTTCAAATAATCTTTTTCAAATTGGTATTAATACTACTTCAACATTTCCACCATCATTTGGTTCATTAACATCAACAAATACCACTACAACAACGAATATTTCAACTGTACCTTCAGTTATAACAACAACACCATCATCACCAACAAAAGTTACACCATCAATCACATTTGGAACATTTGGTAATACTTCAACAGCAACCACAGCTGCAACTACTTTATCTACTTCAACAGTTTCATCCGATAAACCACCTTTATTTTCATTTGGAACAATTAATCCAACACCATCATTAACATTACCATCAGCATCGTCGTCATCAATAACAGCGCTAACTACAACTTCTTCAATAACTCCAAGTTTATTTGCTTTTTCACCAAATACAACAGCACCAACAGCAACTACTACTTCTGTAACATTACCCATTCCTACCGCAGCACTAGCAACAACAACAGCAACAAGTGGACTTGTATTTCCAAGTAGTTTTTCTTCTGCATCAACACCTTTTAATGCTACAACAACAACAACAACAACAGGAACAACATCAACTGCACCTTTATTTGGTAGTAGTTTATCATCTGCATCAGGTTTCAGCTTTCCATCAACGGGAACCACAACAACAACAACATCAAGTAGTACAACATTTGCATTCGGTGCTAGTAGTCCACCAAAACCATTTGCACCTTCAGTTATATCAACAAGTGGTACAACTCCTACACCAGCATTTGGTGCAACAGCTTCATTTGGTGCTCCTTTAACAACAACCGATAAGCCATCAACATCAATACCAACATTTTCAGGTTTCGGTTCAACATCAACTGCACCATCATTGTTTACATTTGGAGGTACATCGAATACAACTACAAATCCTATTCAAACATCAAATCCACCAGCTGGAACAACAAGTGGCTTTTCATTTGCACCTTCATCAACAGCAGGAGCAGCAGCACCAACATTTGGTTCTAGTGCATCAACATTTGGATTCGGAGCAGCACCGTCATTTAGTTTTGGTGCAGGATCAACAGCTCCTACAAGTAATGCTCCATTTCAATTTAGTGCAACACCATCAACAACCGTCAATACTTCATTTACAAATAGTTTTCCTGTAGTTCCTCCGACACCTGAAAATAAGTAAGAATAATTTGAAAAAAAAAACAGTAAATTACTTTTTATTTTGTTATACATTTTAGTCCTTTCAGTGTCAGTGAAGATTCTACAAGTAAACGGCATGTTATCAAAGCTAAACGTCGTGCTAAACCATAAGAATCTTGTTTATTTGTCGTCAAAGATATCAGAACAATATTATTCATAGTCGTGCTTTTTCTTGTTGTCTTTCTTTCTCTATGTATGTGTGTCTGTAATGCCTATGTAAACGTGTGTGTTTTTTGTTGTTCTTTGTTTCTCTCTCTTTTTGGTGTGATTAGAAGAAAAAGAAATATAGTAGTTTGTTTGAGAGCAACGAAGAGAACAAAAAAAAGATAGGATTGAAAAAGAAAAATAATATATAATAAAAAACAGCAAGAACTATGTGTGAATGTATTGCGCAAGCAAAATAAAATATAACTATTGCACAATTATCTTGTAGATTCATTTAGTAGTATAAAAAACAAAAGATGGTCAAAGTTCGGAAAGGCTCTAAACCACCACCAGATGGATGGTAAGTTTCGTTTCTTTTGTATTTGATAAAGAAAAAACTAAATTTATATTTGTTAAAACTTTATTTTTTAGGGATTTAATTGAACCAACATTAGATGAATTAGAAGCTAAAATGCGTGAAGCTGAATTAGCACCACATGAAGGCAAACGTAAAGTTGAAACATTATGGCCAATCTTTAAAATTCATCATCAAAAATCACGTTATATTTATGATCTCTATTATAAACGTAAAACAATAAGTAAAGAATTATATGATTATTGTCTTAAACAATCAATTGGAGATAAAAATTTAATTGGTAAGTTATAGATATTAATAAAAACTTAATTAGAATTTTTTTTCTTGGTTTTTAGCACAATGGAAAAAACAAGGTTATGAAAACCTTTGTTGTCTTCGATGTATTCAACCACGTGATACAAATTTTAATAAAAAATGTATTTGTCGTGTACCAAAAGAAAAATTAGAAGAAGGCAAAGTTGTTGAATGTGTTCACTGTGGATGTCGTGGATGTTCTGGTTAATAGCTACTGTCGAATATTCATGACTGATCCTATAAGATTTGAAGTGTATCATTCGAATTGTTTGTTTATTTTTTTTTTTTCGTTTATTGTATAGAAAAAAGAGTCACAAAGAAACATAAATGAAAAACTTTTTTCTCAAATTTTATGTTATATACATTTATCAATATATGTGAAGAAATTTTCTGAGCGTAGGATATGCTAAGTATTTTTTTCTAAATCCACTTATGAAAGTTAGAAAAATGACAGGAGACCATTTAAAGTAAATATGTGTTCTTGAAAAAGAAAGATAATTTTATGGTGCAGCAGAAATGTTCTTCAAAAAAATTGATATTGTATGCTGATTGTGTTCACGGTTGGAAATATTTCATAGGCATATAATCTTAGTTGCCAAAGACGATGAAAAATTTTAGCAAGTTCTAACTAATATCGCTCAGATTTTGCATACTGTTCTTCTTCACTTGTACGGAACAATTCTCACTTCTAGTCATATTAAAAATGTAATGAATGGCTCAAGTCTATCAATTTGATGAAAGAAGTACAAGTGTGTAGGACTCTATACTAATATACCTCAAAACTTAGAAATTGATTGAAATGAAAATCTGCATGATCACATTTTGAAATATTCGGTTCGAGAAATTCTATCACTTAGTATAAGAATCTTGAGATTCTGACTTTGATAATTTTCTCTTATGAATAGCTAACAGATTAATCTTTCACTTTGATAAGATGAAGTAATTATTAAATAGACATGTCCATATTCCAATTTTGTTTAGTTTTCAATAAAGAATGAGTAATAGTTCACATTGCTCATAAGCAGACTCAGTTCATGAATATACTTTATTATACTTATATTATACGAAGATATATGAAGATTCTTACTGCACTCGACAATTCACTTTATGTAGTCAAAGTTTTACTATTCTAAGAAAAAATAAGATTTATTGGTTTGTACTTGAGCAATTTGCAGTTCAATCCTAGTTGCTGCAGAGCATTTTCACTTTAATTACAGCGCCCTCACTCTTACGCAATGCTGTGTCAGTAAATTACACCAATCAGTATGAAGGCGTGATTACAGAGACGGTGTGCCATCAGTAATGTGTTTCGATGTTTTAACAATGGAGAATACTTTCTTGCTTGTAATTATATCTCTTCTGTGAATGACAAACTGGTGAGCATCAACGGGCGTGAACAAAGTCAACTATTTGTAGGCGTATCTAATACTTCATTAATTCTTTTTCAAAAAGCACGCAAATTAAAGTAATAACCGTTCATAAAACTAGGAAATTGAATCATGATACATATTATTCATCAGAAAACTGACGACATGTATAATAGTATTTGGGTGTTTCTTTTTTTGGATGCGTCGTCGTGGATGTTGTCCAGGCAGGAGAAAAAATAGAAATGATAAGAGCCGCTAGAATCAACGTTTTTGATTCTTAGAATGTGAGGTCATCTTTTAAAATTCTTCCATTTTGATTAATAGACAAGAAGCAATAAAGAAATAGCATCATAAAGATAATTTATTCGATTTGTCTAACGAAATTCTAATAAAATTTTAAAACTATTCGCCATAATCCTATTAAATGTATTTCTATGATTAAAAACGAAACATATTCTTTTGCGAAAAAGATGAATATTTATGGACATTATTATTTCATGTTTCAACTAGCATATGAAATACTTTTTTCTTTTTCTTGTAAATACAACATAAAAATTTCATAGAAATAATTTCCTTTATAACAAATCAACCATTATATCTATTTACCGTAATCTGTAATAACAACAAATAAGTTTTTAGGTTCAAAATTTTTATTATCAATGAGAAATAATAATCTAGATGAATAATTTGCATCAGACCTTTCTCTTCTTTCTGTTTCATTCATGCAGATATCCGCAAAAGTTTTTTTCTCTCATGACTAAAGGTGTCGGTACGTGGCAGCATTTTTACCATTTTTTTGTCTCCACTATCTTCATCGTTGCATCAGGCTCACATTTGTCATCTATGCTTTAACTGCTTCACTTCACATTGTTTTCCTTTATTTTTTCTAGAATAAGTAGACAATTTCGATCAAAAATGCCTCCAACAGCAACATTAAAACCTCGAGCTATAGTTTTGTCTGGACCAAGCGGGTATAGTATCATTGCTTGATCATATAAATATATTCGTAGACAAAAACAAATTTATTTTAGATCTGGTAAAAGTACATTGATTGCTGAATTATTTAAAGAATATCCAACAGCATTTGCTTTTAGTATATCTCGTATGTTAATTTTAATAGTTAAATATTGTTTCAATTTGTATTCTTATTTCTTAGATACAACAAGATCACCTCGTCCAGGTGAACAAGATGGTCGAGGTATATTATAAATATTTTTATTAATAGAACATTTACTTTTTCAGTTATATTATAATAGAATATCATTTTATTCCTCGAGCTAATATGGAAAAAATGATTGCTTTAGGAGAATTTCTTGAAACAACGGAATTCTCATCGAATCTTTATGGAACAAGGTTATTTAAAATAAAAACAAAAAACTTGATTTCTTTTTTGTAATTCAAACTTTTGTTTTTTTAGTAAAAAGTCTGTTGAAGATGTTGCTCAAACAGGTCGTATATGTTTACTTGATGTTGATAAGCAAGGTGTTAAAAATATTCGTAACACAGATCTTAATGCCTTATTTATTTATATAAGTCCACCAAGTTATGAAATTCTTGAACAACGTTTACGTGGTCGAAAAACAGAAAGTGAAGCTGCCATTGAAAAACGTTTAAGAGAAGCAAAAGAATCAATGGAATTTAGTAAAGAACCTGGCATGTATGATCATATTGTAATGAATGATCAACTTGATGCCGCTTATCAAACATTAAAAGAAATTCTTCGTAAAGTACAAAAAAAAATTTTATTAGATACTTTTTGTTTAGAAATTTAATTGTCTATATTTTGTTTTGCCTAGGATATTGAAGCTGTTCTTGAACAACAAAAAGTTAATAATGCTGACAAATAAATATATTTTAACAATCTTATTTAAATAACAACAGCTAACGATATCCTGCACCCCGCCACTCATTATTTTGCTTATTTTTTAGTTTTTGAACTAGCTTTAAAAAAAATATATTCATTAATAATTATTAATATTAAATTTGCTTAATCTCATCATGATGAAACTACAACAAACAAAAAAAAAAAGTTGTTATTGTTTTTGTTTTTTTATCATTTACGAGATCCTCAATATTCATAATAACATATTCAGATGATTGAATATCAAGAAAAATCTGGAAATAATTTCATTCTATTACGCAAGGGCTATTTTTTATGACAAAGACTCTCTTTGCTTTTTATGAGTTTCTCGTTATTCTGTTTTTTAATTTATGAGCCACATAAGTTCTGTCAACAATCACGATTTTTATCAAAAAATTTGATTTTGAGATTTTGACATGGTTCAATAACTCTCAATATCTAATACGATTCACCGAATATATTATGCTTTTTCTCGCTTTATTTTTCTATGCCGTATTATTGATTAAAAAAAACCTTGGGTTCCGATGTCAGACTTTATTTTGCGTTTTTTATTTATTTCTGTTCTTGTGTTAAGAATTTTTCAGCTGTTTTACATGCTAAAAAATTCGACGACGTATCTAATATAAAAACAAATTGTGCTCTACAACTGAACAGAACTGAAACTTTTATTTTTGACTTACTTTTTGAGAAAAATGACTACTTTTCCGTAGAAGATCCTGATTTTTCGAGAGAAAATTTCATTAGAAGTAGAAAAAGAATATTTCGAAATATTAAACTCCTTCTCACACAAAAAAACCTACGTTTTCACATTTGATATTGTCATAGCTAAATGTTTTGAGCATAAACTTTCACTGTGAACTGTTATGTATACCTTATAAAATATTATAACGTTGTAATTGAAGAACTCCGCAACTAATTCTCATGTTCGGCGCTAGCAGCAGTTTTTCATTATAGTTTTTTCTCAGAGAAAAGCTTCAAGACTGTGAAATTCCTTTTATAGTATTTTGAATTAACTCTAATTATGAACTTCTTCAATCGCTTATTTTACCCATCCTACGTAATGCAAATCAGGTCAAAATCGGCGTTCATTTGGTACCTAAACAATTGAATATTCTTTGACTCTTATTATAGTGGGGTAGTTTTCCAATAATTGTTCTTTGACTGGACTAACAGTAGTGCAAACAAACGTTCTATATGAGATGAAAATTTCTAGTGTATTAAGAAACAAAATACAATGATATTAGATCTTCACAGTTTCTTAAGTGGAGTAATTCATTTGATTATAAACAATAATTTTCAATTTATTCTAGATGACACATCAAGAACAACAAATACGTCTGACACAAGCAGGTGTACATGATAATCCAGATTTTGTTCTTAAATATTTAGAAGAAATTGAACTATTAGCTGAAAATGTTCTTGCTGAACGACGAGAAATAATTGAATTAAATAAACGACGTGATAAATTACGTGAAGCCAGTCGGTATGTATATTTTCTTTTTAAATGAAACTTTAATTAATATCTATATTTTCAATTTTCTTTAGAGCTATTCATAAACAACCAGCAAATACAAAAATTAATTGGATGTGTTTAAATAATAATTTTCTTGCAATACCAACAAAAGATTGTAAACGTTTAATTGATCGAGGTAAATTATACAACAACAAAAAAAAAAGAATTTCTACAATTACAATAAGGTGTCTTTTTTTTTATTCAGATTTTGATCAAATGAATCTTGAAATCAATCAAGCAGAAAAAAAATTAAAAGAAAATATTAAAAAATTATATGATGCAGAAAAAAAACCAGAAATTCGTGGTTTTAATTTAAAATCTTTATCACGTGAAGAACGTCAAGAATTCGATCAATTATTAGAACCTTACATTTAAAATATATATATATATAAAATAAAATAAAAAATTCTAATGAACAGAAGCACGTCTTTGTGGTACTTGAAATCCTTGATAAGTTTGAGATGCTTGTTTATAATTTTGTCGAGTAATTTTCAAATCAATATTTTTATGTATAACAGAATCAGTTGGACGTGTCTTAGGAAATTTATTTGGATAATATGTTTTACCATGTTTATTTACTTCATTTTTAACTTGAGCATAAATCGTACCAACAACATAAGGATCTTTATCACTACGTTTAGGAAATTTATCAAAACAACCATCTTTATTACCACCAAGCTAGATAACAAAAAAAAAGAAAAATTTCAAATAGAAAATTTCGTTTTTTTTTTTTTTAAATGAAAACAAATCAAACAAACCGATTTGCCAGGTGAACTATATTTAAATGGTTTTTTATCTGATGGTGCTGATTTTGAACGTTCTCTAGCATCACTACGACTTTTTCGACTTTTACCATCATCACGATATGGATTACGATCAAAATATTCTGTTGGATGCATATTTAATTTAAATACACCAGCTTTCATTTGGGATTTATGTTGAATATAATCTTTCTGCCAAATAAAAGAATTGTTTTGTAAAATAGGAAAATAACTAAATTTGATTCTCTTACTCGTTGAGCATTTAATGATGCATCATAATTATCTGTTTTTTCTTTATAAGCATATGGAGGATCTTTATCAATACCTACATTAGCATAACTAACAGAAAAGAAAAAGAAATAAAATTAAAAGTAGAATTCAATGATTAATTAAACATACCCGTAGCCTGTTCCTTTTTTCGATGGATTTACTTTAAAATTTGATTTTTCAGATGGTGGCTTTGCTTGTGCACGATATTTCGCTTTGCTTGGATCGAGATCCTTTACAGCACCACCGATTGTTCCATAAAATGAACCGAGACCTTCACTAAAAAAATAAATAAATATTGATCCAAGTTGAAAGAAATCATTTTTTTTCTCTTCAATTCTTTATAATAAAAGGTTATTTTTATCTTTACTTACGGATCTTTCGGCCGATACATGCTAATAAATGGTTTATTAACAATATTTTTCTTTTTTTCTTCAATACGTGCTTTACGGCGCATTGATATAGGGTCAATATAAGAACCAGATAGTAATTTAAATTCAGTATCAAAGTATCCCGCTAGTGAACCTGTTGATCGTTGTTTAGAACTTTTACTCATGATTTGTTTATTCTTATATGCTGCTTCATTGAAATTAACTTTAAAAGAAAAAAAAAATTAAGAAAGTCATAATTAATATTTAATTAGCAATAAATTAAATTTTATTAAATTAAACTCACAGCGAGTAGATTCTTTAAATGGATCTTTGATTGTAACATATTCCATTTCTTTAAACAGACCGATTCGGTCCATGTCGGATTTGTTAGATGATCCCATGATTAATATCTCAAACGCGAAAAGATTCTTTTCTATTTAACCGATTATTTTATAGTCTTCACATACTTCTTAAAAAAACAGTAACATTACCATTATTATAGTTCTTGTCAGGACAACAGCATAGTAACAATGCGTTTTTTGTTTTTTTTTTTTGGTTACATAGAGTGCGCCCTAAAACAATATACTACGATGTATCATATATTTCAATGCATGAAACTAAACAAGAGTGATTATTAAACTTCAATAGCAACCGAAAATAGTCATTAATATATTGTGAAAATAACACAAATGATGGTGAAATTCGTGTGAAGCGATGTCTTTTTTTTGGAGACAATCAAAAAAAAATATGCCTCAAACAATTCAAATAGAGAAATGTGATAGCTAAAACAAACCTTTTTTTTCCGATTTTTTTTTCTTTGATTTTACAGTATTTCGATTATTGCACGATCTTTGAGCTATGATTATCTCATAAGTTTAATCATATGATATGACTCTGGCAATGGTATTTACTTTTCTATTTTATATTGTCTTTTAAGTAACAATCATAAATTTAATCAAATACTGAATATAATTCGTCAGAAGTATTTATTTTTTCTTGAGTACAAACGGCTAACAGAAATAAATGACAACGTAAAACTGTATTTTTTTAAGTATTATTATTCATGTTTTTGAATCGGTGGTTTAAAAGCTGAATGTGAACCACTGCCAATAATTGATGGATTTTGAGTATTAATCTCGAATGGAAATCGTCTTGGAATAGATGATAATGGTAAACGAAAAGAACTTGGAACAAACAATGGTGCACGAAAAAATTGTAACCAATCAGTTGAATTAAGATTAACAAGAGATAAAGAATTTGATGATGGTAATGGTGGTGGAAAAGGAAAATAATGTGATGACGATAGTGAAGGTGCCGTTGGTAAAGATGGTGGTAGGAACATGTTCATATCAGGTAATTGTTCATCAGTTGTTGTTGATGAAACAACATTATGTGTTGGTATTTTTCTTTCTCGTGTTTTTGTTTTTTGTACTTTTGCTGGTGGTGGAATTGGTAGAACTAATTTTTCATCATCTTCTTTTTTACTTTCAATCTTATCATCATCTTCTTTATCTTCTTCACTCGATTCTTTTTTTTGTTCATGATTTTCATTTGTAAAACTATTATTAGTATTATTATCCATTGTTGATGGTTTTGAAATATTAGTAGAAACTGTTGTTCCTGATGTTGATCGTTTTCTATTACCACCATTAAACATAGCTTTGACATCTTCCCATGCATCTCGTAAATCTTCACTTTGTGTTGGATTATGCAAACGTAAATGACGACGCCATGCATTAAAATTTGGACTATCTGGCTGAACATAGGATACATTTGGTAAACGATGAGAATGAAATATAAATTTATTTGGTGACAGAAAACTATCACACAACGAACATCTAAATTTGATTAAATGAATAGAATGTAAAAAAAAAGAAATGAAAAGATCAAAAAATAGAAAAATCGAAATTAAACCTGATACATTTTGCTCGTGAACTATTGTATCGTATGGGAATAAACAAACCACGACATCCCCATGCACAATGATGATAAACTTCAAAAACAAAATTTTCTGGTAAATTTAATGGTTTTGTTGTTTCAAGAAATGAATTGACTAAACGTTCAGCTTCGCGACGAGTTATCATACCACAACGTCGAGATGAACTTGGCATAGCACCTTTAAATAAGTACAACAAATTCATAATCTTTCATCTTCGATTAATAAGTATTTACCTGCTCGTCGAAGTAATTCTAATTGAACAGGTGTACATTGAACACAAGTTATACCTAATGCTAACAAAAATCAAAAAGTTTAAATATAAAAACACAAATTAAAATTTTCTTTTTTTGTTCATACCAACACGTCGATTATGTATTTCATTATAACTAAAACCTTTTAATAAATCATTTGATATTTGTGCCAAACATAAACGTTCTTTTCCATCAGTAATTAAACTTACAATAGGTACACCACGTATAGTACATGTTGATACATAACTATTATCATGATGTCGATTATCATTGATCATTAAATTTTCTTCCATATCTAAGAAATAAAATATACAATGTTCAGTTTTTATTTTGTTTTATTTATTTTTCTTTCTAACAGCAGATGCTAAACTGTTTTACAGTCAACTGAACTTCTCTGATGTGCTACTTGAATTTCTGATGAGAGGAAAAAAAAAGAGCGAATGAGGGAGAGAAAGTTTTTTATCATATGAACCATATAATCCTCGATAAAAAGTGATTAGTGACATAATGAAATACTTTCGGGATTGTAGAGAAAAAGAAAATTAGCAAATGGTATATGCATTGCTAAAAAGATCATCATCATCGATTGAGAAAAACAGAGTGTCTTTGATTATGCCGACATTAACACTTTAGATGATGATAGAGAGAATGGAAAAAAACAAAAATTGATTTATTTTAAACTCGACTTACTTTCTATCTCTTTTTTTTGTATGAAAATTACTCTCATAATTATTCTCAAGCTGTTGACTTTCATTTTTTTCTCGCATAAAAAAAATTCATCGATTGGTTTATGAAAATTGTTTTATAACCAATGAGAATACATCCGGATGGATAAATGAGATGAAATAAGACATTTTTTTCTTCTCTTATTTGACGCATTCCATCATTATTTCATTTGACACTTTGTCTTTATTCTAAACAAAAATTGAAGGTGTATCTCTATATATATATGCGCTTCCATTTACATTCATCGTCAAATGTATATAGTAATCATAATTTTCTATTTGAATGACATATGCATCAACGCCAATGCTACTACTCATGTTCAACTTCTATCGTCAAGATGTGTCTATTTAATTGATGCTTCACTTGATCTATTGAGAAGATTTTTTCCTTACGTTCAAATGTTATTCATGTGAAGACGAGAAAGTAACAAAAAAAATGAATTTAACAATGCAGAAAAGAAAAAGAAAATAAAATGATTGTATGATAATTAATTGACAGTTGTTTTGCTTTTTACTATTTATTGTTGCAATTGAAAAGTAATGACACGAAAATTAGAAAGACAAAATTCATAACATAATGAAGTCGTGCAATCGATGACCTGTGAAATGACGAGATGTAGATCAAGTGATGTAACTTTTTTATTTATTGATGCATTCACATTTTCTCATTTATTTTTCATGATAAGCTAAGAATATATATATATCCATAAAGTGACAAATGAAATCAATGGAGAAGAAAAATCATATCATTTATATCTTGTTATTAACGATTGTCTGATCTACTCTAATTCTATCATTGCTATAATTAATCGAGGAAATGATGATACTATCAAATAACTATAAAATCACTTAATTAGGTTTTTTTATTTTCAATTTAATAAACATAGGCATCAGGCCTTAAAACGATCCAATTTTATTTGATTTTAATTTTTCTTAATCGATTTTTTTAACAGCAATTTAAATCGATACAACTTCATAAATAGATCAAAAAAGAGTGAATCTTTATTATACAAACAAACGTTTTGGAAGTTTCATTTGACCAATTAAATAAAAGCAGAGCATTTATTTGATTCAATGACATTGTTCATCCATACGCACAAGACCGAGTGTACTGTCAACTGCACTAAATGGTATGAATGTCTTCAAGGAAAACATAGAAATAGTAAACAACCTGATTCTTTGAAATTGATCAGCAGGCGTTTTACCGGTGAAACCTTACGTTAATTAATGACAATCTTCAAAAAATTACAGTAACCATTTATGTATCTTAATTTTTTGGTTCAATAAGTGATTTGACTAATTTCTCATGTGGGCTTTTCAAGCATTAAAATTGTTCGACTTTATTCTATTTATGATCACTATGATAATAAACTTTTTAGAATGTCCTAATAGATAAGTGCAGTGATTGTAAAACTTCACCTTGTAGAAATCTTTTTTTTGTAAAAGAAATGCACTTAAATAGCGCAATTTTCAGTTGGAGCAACAAAACGTAAGCAATTGTTGATCTTATATAAATTATTTGGGATTTTATCAGTTTTTTGTTTATAGAAATAAAACTTTGAGTTTGACTAGTGTCAATGATGTGAGAGCATTCTTTTGTTTTGTCTATTTTTGATACAAGAAAAAAAAAGACTTATTATAACTTGTTGCATCAAAAGTGAATCATTATCTATTGTTAACTTCTTTTTTCGTATATGATGACTACAGGTGTATGGCTTATCTTGCTGATTCATATATTCTCTAAAACTTATATTTGTTTCGTTTTACTTTTCATTATCAACAATGCAGATACTTATTATTTATTTTCGTATGTAAAAAGTACTTTCATATACATTTATTGAAAGTTTTTTATTTTGTATTTAAGTTGTTTTTTTATGTTTTACGCCATGTCTATTATCAATTAGTATTAGTCCTTGTGCAAAGTGGAATACAACTGGTCTGACAATTGCTGGAAATGGTGTACAAGGTATAGGTGCTAATCAACTTAATTATCCTCAAGGTATTTTTATTCATGACAAAATTAAACGATTGTATGTATCTGATACAATGAATAACAGAATTCAAGTATTTCCATTAGATCGATCAACCCAAACAGGTTTGACAGTAGTATCTAGCGTAAAAACTTATTACAAAATCTATGTCGATGACGATAACGATGACTTTCCGACTATTTATGCTGCAGATAATAGCGACAATCGTGTTGAAAAATGGACAAAAGGAGCCACGAATGGTGTACAAGTAGGCAGTCGTTGCCTTAGCTGTACAGGAGTATGGTTAGATAAAGATAAAAATATTTACATGTCAGACCACGATAGACATTGTATACTTAAATGGTCCCCTTTAACGAACATTACAACAACAGTTGCTGGTGAATTAGGCGTAAATGGACCAAGCGCTAATCAACTCAATCAACCTCAAGGTATATTTGTTGATAAAACTACTAGTGCATTGTATATAGCCGATCTATTAAATCATCGCGTGCAAAAATGGCCAAAAAATGCTTTAGAAGGTGTTACTGTAGCTGGTTCAAGTGATGGTAATGCCGGTTCTGATAATGCGTCATTACATAGACCATATGGTTTACGTGTTGATGAAGAAACAAAAATAGTCTATGTGGTTGATTTGATGAACAATAGAATTCAGCGTTGGAAACATGGTGAAACTGAAGGTGATACTATCGTTGGTGGTTATGGTATGTTTATCATTTCATTTAGATTTACTCGTCAACGAGAAGAATGTTCGAAAATATTTTTACAAATAATTGAGGAAAAAAATGAATTTCATGATTCACATATTTGATTATGTGAAGAAGAAAGAATGAACTATTTTTATGATTAGGTGAAGGTAACGAAAATAATCAATTTCATCATCCAACCGATTTGGCATTTGATGATGATGGCAATCTATATGTAAGTGATGCCTGGAATCATCGTGTTCAATTTTTTGCTCTGACCGATAACCGACCATGTCAAGCAACGTTGACAACAACTGTGAAAACATCAACAGGTAGTTCCATTGTTCTTATCTTTATCTTCCATTTTATCTTATTTTTCTTTGTAGGCTTAGTGAATTCTTCAATGTACAAGTAAGCAGAGCAAAAGTTAAAAATAACATCACGAAATATGATTTTTCTTATAGATCACCAATAGCTTTGGCTATAGTGTTCAGTATAACTTGGATTATAATGAAACTATTGTGACTGTCCCATTACAATATGTAGTGTTGACATATGCGAAATTTTATTTCATTTAAATAAATAAGGATATTACAAAGAATCATAATGAGTAATGAAAAATTCCATTTCATGTTTGTTATGTAAATGTCTAAAATATAAAAATGCTTATTTCACTAAGACAGGAAAGTTCACGAGCTGTGACTTGCTAATCGAACTGATATTTTGCCAATTAGTAATAGTGACGTAACTACGAGGATCATGGATAGTAGGATGATGCTTGATCTAGTCCACCATTGATTATGTCACTCTATTGAGCAAAGGAGTGTTAACTCTGTTTCATGTATACAATGATATTGAAGGATGAAATTAATGACGAAACAAAAGTCGCTGAAGTTGCCGATTACGATAACAACAGAATTCAATGCTAAATTACTGATACACATACAAAAGCGGAATTAGTGCCGATGGCAATATTATGTTCATCCTTTCATTGGTGATTGATGTTAAAAATAATTATAGAAATTAGAATAATGCAGAAGATGAGAACTGCAAGGACTTAGTTTTTTTATTAACATTGAGAAATGCGTTAATACGATCGAAGTACTATGTAGTATCTATAACTGAGACAATTGTGGAACTGGATCCTGCCATCAACTTTGTCTTTTGACGATTATTCATATCATCAATCATTCACATCAACAGTATGTTTCTTTTTCGTTCACTGAATTTTACTACTTTTTAAACTTTTCGTCTAGTTCTTTTAACATACAAAAAAAACAAAATTTAACAGTAACATTGAGAGATTCATGCTTTTTTAAAATATAGATTGCTAATTTCTTTGATTATCACATCAAACTATTTCACTTCTATGTCAATAAAACTCTTGCAAAACTACATTTTTCTGGTAAGTTTAAAGATTATTATGATAATTTTTTCAATGGTAAAAGTTTCTTTTTTTTAACATTGTTAATTAAGGTCAAATTTATTTATTCATTTATTTATTTCATTTGTTTCTGAATTCATTCGTTGAATAGTTTGTTGAATCCAATCATAATATGCTCCAATACGTACATAAACACCTGGATAACCTTGTGGTGCATATTCACATCCATAACTAACAATACCTGTTAAAATCCATCGATCAACATCATATTTTTCTTTTTCAAATAGTCCACTTCCAACGTCACCTTGACATAAATCACGTTTCGAACCTTGTGTACCAGCACATGCTTGTTTGTTCACATCATATTTTGTATAAAAAGAAGGACATTCATCCATCACTGTTAACGTAGCTTGTCGAAGTTCATTAGAAAATGAAACAGTCCAAGTATTATTTGGTATTATACGCCAACCAGCAACAATCAATGGATTCGATACATGAGGGTGTCGAATTGATTGTGCTAAACAAGCTGGTCTAATACGATCAGTAAATGATTCAATACTTTTATTAAGTCTTACTACAGCAATATCATTTACTGATGTTACAAGATTATAATCAGAATGAAATATAAAACGATCAATCGCAACACGATCAGTAGAATTTGATAGATAATGTGCATCAAGAACAACTGAATATGGTACAGGAATAAGATTACCTTGAAAACAACTTGCTGCTGTTAAAACATGTTGATTATCAATTAAAGTTCCAGCACATTTATGTTCTTTGTCATATTGAATTGAAACATACCATGGTAACGAATATGGACGAGCTGCTATATTACTCATTGTATGATTTTCATAAGGAGGATATGCTGATATACTACATTGATTAAAGTCTACACAAAAACGTATCTAATAAACGAATAAATTAGCTTTAAAATGTTTAATTCAAAGAAAAAAAATATATAAACTGTACTTCATAATCAATACATTGTTTTCCATTTATAGAATGACATATAAATCCATCATAGATTTGTGTATAATTTTCAATTAGCAATGTTGGATTTGTTATTTGTTGATATGATGCTTTTCGTATTTCAAAAAAACCTGTCCATTGAGTAAACTCAAATTTTGATGGATATTTTGCTCGAATAATTGAAAAACGTTCAATATCATTTCCATCTAATTCTAAATCCCAAGGATGATTTTCATTAAACCATTCACTTGTATTATTACACTCACAGTGAAATAGTGGAAACGAAATAAATAGAATCAAAAGAATATACATAATATGGAAATGTCTGATAATAAATGGTAGTTTTGACTGTGAATCAGAGTGAATATATATAAACATAAGTATCGAATTACTTGAATATGTAGTCAATTACTAATAGTTAAGACGATATACTTAGCAAAAGCAAATGAGAAAAAAAATCAAAGCTTTATATGTGTATCTTTGTCTTTTGATTTATAGCTGATCAATAAAAAGAAATTTTATCCTAAACATATTTTTACCAATAGATTATAGTAAAATCTCTCTAATGTGAGCACAATTGGGACCAATCAAGTGTCTAGTTTACGGAAGTGTTCATGATTGGAAAGTTTTCAGCATCTTTTTCCTTCTTTTACAAAACTACTAGTATTCATTAGCAGTCACTTTTTGTCTGTAGAGGATGGCCGTGAACATCTTTCAAATCATTTATTCATTGAAATTTTCAACCTTTTTTTTTCGAAATAGCAATGCTTTTATAATACAGAAGTAATCAGTTTGACAATAATTGTGAAGTGTAATTTGAGGAGAAGTCTTTGAATAGAGATAGATGTCTGTTGATTTTATTTCAATATCACTTATAGCTTCGTGGGTGTGGGAGTTGATCTTATCTCAACCCACACTCACACCCACACCCTTCTTTATTATTCAAATATTATTTGTCTTTAATACTTTATTTCGTTTCTGTTGACAAAGGTATTGCAATGATATTATCATTATGTCGTGATTTACACTGACTATTATCCAGAAAAAATCGAATTATCTTACCATTCGTTCAGAGCTATGACCAAGAAAGTTTTTTTCTGATAAAGAAGCGCAGTAATGCAAATACAAACAGTTCCCTAAGTAGACAACCGCTTTAAAGGATACTACGATCTGTTGCTCTTTTTTTCTCGTTTACCATATTTGATTCATTTATTGCGGGAACTGTATAAATCTTGACAAAAGTCGAGGATGCAAAGTTATTTTCTTTCATTTTACGATAATAGTACATAGTACACAGACCATTTTACTCTCACGCAGCGCGATGTTTGTTATTTGATTAAATTGAATCTCTGAAAGGTTTGCTTATTAAATGAGTTCGATATTGAAAATTCTGTGATAATGCTGATTAATAGATGAAATTCGACTATATTGCAGTGAATGCTACAATAACATGGACCAACAAAACGAAGAAAAAATTGTCCTTAGTTATACCTAATGTTCGAGCAGGTACCAGAAAAAAATTCAACTCATCCGAATTTCTTTTTTTTCCTCATATTTCTCTCTATTCTTTTATATTTGTTATTTTCTACAATTTACACTTCCAGCAACTTCAGATCTTTTTTCTTTTAGTCATTCAAGTTCTCTTTCGTTCTCATTAACACTTAGTCTGATGAATTAATTCGTTAATATGATAAAAAGAATTCAAAATAAAAATGCTCTCATAACATTTGAGAAATGTTATTTTCTAGTTGTAAAATTTTCAGAATAGATTTAAATCAAATCTCATCTGCTTTAGAAATATTGGTAGGTATCCGATAATAAAGTCTGACAGAACAATGGTAACTTTATGTTTTATGTTCGCGATTTGTCCCTCTTCATAGATTTAAAACGAATGGTATGTTTTTTTATTATTATAAAATATTCCTAATCATCTAAGACAAATCATTCATAAATTCGACATTTGATTTATGTTCAAAATCCATTGTAATGCAACTATTTTTCAATTAGATCAACATTGCATTTAAATGAATATGTACATTTTCATAAATGTTTCTCTGATTTATATAAATATTTCCAGTTTATCTTTATATAGATATGTAGTTGAAACATGCGCCAAATTATAAATACACACAAAAGGATATCTTTATAAATAGCTCACTGAAATGTGTGACAAAGAGACATGATGAAAAAAAAATTCGAAACAAAATAAATTGTTTTCTTCAACTATATTCAAATCCAGCAGCTGCTTGAATAGCATATAGTAGTTTTTCTTTAAGCATGTTTTCATCAGCATATTCAGGTAATTTTAAAAGATTTATACATGTATTGGATGTTGGTAAACGATCTATTTCCGAACCAGCAGATTGAATGCAAAACTCAGGATACAATTCCTAAAAGAAAAAGAGTATAAGAAAAACAAATTTATTTATTTTATTTCAGATTGAATCGAAATAGATTTGTTCAGTTTGATATTTGAGTGTTTGATTTTTAACTTCGAAAGAAATTTATACTCAGACTCAAAAATTGTTAGCAAATGCTAATTTTTTGTTTTACAATATCTCTAAACATATCAACTTAACACTATTTGGGTTTGTTTCATAAAACTGTCAGTGTGTTATTCAGATTTTCTCTTTCAGAAGGGCTAATCTGATCTTCAAGCGAGGGTTGCTATCCTCACTCTCGCGTTAGAGGAATAACTGAAGGCTGTTCATATAACTAAACTAATAAATCGAAAGAAAAAAGTCTGAATCTCGATCGAAAATTTAGTAATACGTTTATTTTTAATAAACCGATGTGTCTGGTTCCATGAACAGTGAGATAGGACTAAATTTTGAGCGAATAAAAAACAACGGTTGCTTACTCTCTCTCTCTATCCTATTCTTTGTAACAAGGGAACATGTCTACATGTCAAATCACTTTTCAATCGGGAACTATGTGCATTATATAGATTCTAATGAACTATAAATGCTTTGAAAAGAGTTCGAATCAAAGATTTTTTAATTGCGCCTTTTCTCAAATAAGAACATCGGAATTTGCTGCTGTATATGAACAATATGACAAACATGCTTTTACCGTAGCTATATCTTAGAATATCAGGAATCAAAAGATCAAAACCTTTACAATAAACCATTCTCAGTAAAACTTATCTCTATCTCAAAATTTCAAGTCG